TTATCAATATTATCAGTTCCATGCTTGTTATGAATGGTTATTAAAAGTATGCTAGTTCATCAAAGAATTACATATATTAGTGAATTATAGCCTGTTTCCGTTTGTTTGACATGCTTGTAGATCACCGCGACCTTCAACAAACAAGATCAGGTTTGCAGCAGGAATGATATCTACAGAACTGTCAAACTATCCTGCGTTAGTGGAGTCATTCTGAAAATAGCTCCATAACTCACAGATTAAGATTGCAAGGTGGATTTTCTAAATTCTTTACAAAGACATAAAATATGTGCTTCTAAAGTCTGTTTGCAATCGTTTCTGATGAGTCTATTTTTAGCCAATACCCCTGCTAGGATAGCCAATAAAATTTGGTTTATTGATGTCCTATATCTTCGCACAGAGCTGGCAAAATCCCACATCAAACAGAAGTTGAGATAATTATTGAAAAACACTGAGGGTCTGTTCTTGCTTCTTTCTTTGGACCAGACAGTTCAAGATCTCGGTGGATGGATGTGATTAGGGAATATAAAGTTTATTAGCACTATGTATATATTGTATTTCATCTAGTAAAGATTTGTGGGAATACATGTCACAATTTTCTGAAAATCATGAGTGAGTGAGTGAGTTGGGTTTAACACAGCTTTTAACATTATTCCAGTTATATCACTGCTTGTCAGCTTAATGTGGGAGGAAAGCCCAAAGTGATGCAGGTCTCAGACATTTACCACTTCGGTGAAACCGACGAGCACGGATATGGTGCTGACAAACCAGGAAACATAATCTGGGCGAACCGGGATTCAAACCCATAATCATAGGTTTCTGGCGTGCCCAAGGGACCCAACTCTGCACAGCGAATTGCAGCGCCTTAGACGACTGGGCCACCCATGCCCCCTGGAAAATCATGAAACTCAAAGGAAAATGATATGATTGATTTATCAAGTCCTTAATAATAATAATGAGCTTCTTTGTAATGGGCAAGATTCCTCACACAGCATGCTCAAAGTGCTACACCAATATTACCCGGTCAATGGATCAATGTCCTCTCAAATGTAATTCCCAGCTTCCTGGGGAGTATACAACCTAAGCTGCCTTACAAGGTTAACAGTCACATTACCATCTCATCCTGAGGGTACCCATTCACTGCTAGGTGAACAGGTGCATTTTAAATACAATCACCAAAGGAGACACTACATGTAACAGTGGTCATGTTTTGAGTTATCACACCTCACAGTGCCTCGGTGCACCAACCAGTAGAAAAACAGATAGTGTATGAAAAAATTATATAAGTTCCACTCAACAATAATTGGCAATATCTTTTCATTTTTACATTTGAAACACTTTGAACAATCTCAAATGATGTGTTGCATGATGGTAAATCTACCATGATAAATGCAATGTCTACTCTCGCCACATCCTCCCGCGACCACCTCATACATAATGTATTCCACTATGCACGTTGTTTGTATGATTTTGTCCGCCGACTGCTCCATTGCTTCAGTCTCGCTGTGACTGTAAGTGTGGCACTGTGTTGCTCATTGTTTAATCATCAATAATGCACAGCCCTCTAGCGTGTTGCGTGTTGTTCGCGCCAGCTACAAGTTGATGTGCTAAGGGTTCCGGACCTTTATAACACAGCAGCGCAATATGTGTCGAGTGGTTCCGGACTAATGTGTTAACTATACACTGTGACCACTAGTAACGGATTAGTTGGTCCTGTTGACAGACTGCTTGGCCGCCTCCAGTAACGATATATTACTGTCTTGAAACCCGACTAAAATAAATAATGGGTTATGTGCTGGTACTGTGTGGAACGGGCTCTCTGATTGTCAAAGTCGTAGGTTGAAGACCCTATATAGCAATCAATACTGACATGAAGCAAGTGTGGTCCCTCTTGGCTCATGTTTCAGAGAGATTATGGACCCGTGTAGTGTCCATGGAGCCGATTTTATTGTCAAAGGTGAATAAAATCTGGATTTGATGGTCACAATGGCTGCTGGAAATGGATAGTCCTCTGTCATCACAAAATACCTGCCAACATGATGTGGATCAATGCTTACTCAACTTGGCACTTACAGGATTTGGGGACTCACTGTTCACTCACCTCACATCACCTCACCTCGCCTCACCTCGCCTAATAGATGGAGCTGTGAATGTTATTATTTTGTTGATAGAGTTTATTGAGTACACATGGATTTTTAAGATTCTGGATTCCAGCCTGTCAATCATTAAATTTTAAATAATGTTCTCCACTGAAACCACAGGGTTAATCAGGCTGAAATATTTATCATCACTGGAATAGTGTCTCTAATTCATATGCTTTACAGAATGCAGATCAATTTTAAACATTACCGTCACAGCAACCATATTGTACTTCTCACTTTTGTCCAGTTCTCAACCACTTTTGTGCGAATCAATGAGCAGTCTGATAGGCACAATGACATACATTATTCTTGTTTCATGTTCTAAATTTGACCCTGTACTATTACCATTAGGCATGTTAAGAATAGTCATGTGACTTAATCCTCTCACATCAGGTGTCCATTTGTGTATTTATATCTGCTCAGTGTAGTTTCTATCCTTTGTATGTGTATGATACCATTATATTAGTTATATAAAATCTGCATATATAGTGTTTGGAGGAATATAAAGTGTGAGGCTATTATGCATTATGATAAAAATTTTGCTTATTTTTAAATAAATAATTGTGTAACTATTTCACAATGTTGTTTGTGATTTGGTCACATTATGATGTAGGTTTGTATGCATAAACATACATCCCCAAACATCTTGCGATTACATCATTTTCAACATCTTTTCGACCCGTGAAGGTCCCGGGTAGAATAGATCTTCAGCAACCCATGCTTGCTGTAAAAGGCGACTATGCTTGTCGTAAGAGGTGACTAACGAGATCGGGTGGTCATGCCCGCTGACTTGGTTGGAACATGACATGGTATCCCAATTGCGTGGATCGATGCTCATGATATCAATCACTGGAATGTCTTGGCCAGCCAGACTCGATAAGTTACAGACTACCATCATATGGCTGGGATATTGCTGAGTGCAATGTTAAACAACAAACAAACAAACAATAAACATCTTTTCTGATACTGTTTTGGGTAAATATTTCAAAAAGCAAAACAATCGTTATTGTGCATATGATGACTCTTTAATTAATGACAGAATTATCAGTATTGTTTTTGCTGATTTCTGCCCTTCTTTAACCTTGATTTTGAGTCCAATAATTTGATTTATTATATAGCAGATCTTGTAAAAAGATTCAGTTGAGCCAGACCCTCATGTCTCCATGTTTCTTCCTGTTCTTGTTTGCCGTGTTTCATACATAAATGTATTGATCCGTGCTCAGTGACATTAACTTCAATAAAGACACAACTTTCAACTTTCTCCATTCAAAAAGACAATGTGCTGTTTTTGCCTCTAATCCTATCCCTCCTCCAGCACATAACAGTGTTACATTTACCAGGATTGATAGCGCCAGAAAATGGAACGGTACTGATGAGTCACCATAGTTAAATCAAATAAGCTTAGTTGTAGATACAAGAAGACATTCTCGAGTTACGTTGCGTAAGTGATTGTGTCTGTATATCACAATAACTCCGACCTATGGGGACGGAGATTGGTCTTTTTGTATAAGATGTAGACAGATATCGTCTAAGTGTGTGCTAGGCACAGATTCTAGATGTGTCAGGATTTGAGATGAACTAGTCTACGCTGATTGGATTGTCGACGATACCTTGGGTTTGGGTGACTGTACATTCTGTCTTTGTCACGGATCACCCTTTGTCCCTGGCCAAGACTGAAAGTGATATCTGTGAATACAATGTACAGTTGTTGTATTCCTGTTTTTATACAACTGTGTCAGTTTCTACATAGTAGTTTTGCTTTTTCTTATTTGGTCACAAATCAGGAAAACAGCCTAGTTGAATGAAATAATTGTTTAATCAAGGAATCCAAGTTAATTACCTTCTAATGATATCCTCAACATGTGGAATAAGAAAAAGTAGCATAAAAACGTGAATTATTTAATGTTAAGTAGTGTCAAGAACTGAATTATTCAATGTTAAGTAGTGTCAAGAACTGAATTATTCAATGTTAAGTAGTGTCAAGAACTGAATTATTCAGAATTAATCAGTGTCAAGAATTGAATTATTCAATGTTAAGTCAGTGTCAAGAACTGAATTATTCAGAATTAATCAGTGTCAAGAATTGAATTATTCAATGTTAAGTCAGTGTCAAGAACAGAATATCCAATGTTAAGTAGTGTCAAGAACTGAATTATTTAATGATGAGTGGTGTCAAGAACTGAATTATTCAATGTTGAGTAGTGTCAAGAAATGAATTATTCAATGTTAGGTCAGTGTCAAGAACTGAATTATTCAATGATGAGTGGTGTCAAGAACTGAATTATTCAATGTTGAGTAGTGTCAAGAAATGAATTATTCAATGTTAGGTCAGTGTCAAGAACTGAATTATTCAGAATTAATCAGTGTCAAGAATTGAATTATTCAATGTTAAGTCAGTGTCAAGAACAGAATATCCAATGTTAAGTAGTGTCAAGAACTGAATTATTTAATGATGAGTGGTGTCAAGAACTGAATTATTCAATGTTGAGTAGTGTCAAGAAATGAATTATTCAATGTTAGGTCAGTGTCAAGAACTGAATTATTCAATGATGAGTGGTGTCAAGAATTGAATTATTCAGTGATAAGCAGTGTCAAGAACTGAATTATTCAATGATAAGTGGTGTCAAAAACTGAATTATTCAATGTTGAGTAGTGTCAAGAACTGAATTATTCAATGTTAAGCAGTGTCAAGAATTGAACTATTCAATGTTGAGTAGTGTCAATAATTGAATTAGTCATCCATTGTTGTTCTATGCTTTGTTGCTGAAACTTTACTCACTAACTCAATCACATCAACACAGAATGTTTGACTTATGAAACATTTTTGTTATTTATTTAATTGTTGGTATTTCTTGTTGCCAGGTGTCAATGCCGGCTGAAGCCCACACTGTCTGCTGTGGGGTGGATCACACTGTCATACTCTGCAGGTCTTTCTGCTGAGTGGAAAAAAATAGGTGTTATACTGTGATTGACATCATAAGAACAACATTGTGCATGACAGCCTTCTTAGGGATACACTATGATTGACTTCATGCGGACGACACCATGATAGCCTTCATTGGGACAACTTTGGGACAGCCTTCTGGGGATGACATCATGACAACTTTCAAGGGGACGACATTATGACAGCCTTCATGGAGATGACATGATAGCCTTTATGGGGACGACATTGTGACAGCCTTCATGGAGATGACATGATAACCTTCAAGGGGACGACATTGTGACTGCCTTCAAGGGGACGACATTGTGACAGCCTTCATGGAGATGACATGATAGCCTTCATGGGGACGACATTGTGACAGCCTTCATGGAGATGACATGATAGCCTTCATGGGGACGACATTGTGACAGCCTTCATGGAGATGACATGATAGCCTTCAAGGGGACGACATTGTGACAGCCTTCATGGAGATGACATGATAGCCTTCATGGGGCCAACATTGTGTGGCCTTCATGGAGATGACATGATAGCCTTCAAGGAGACGACATTGTGACGGCCTTCATGGAGATGACATGATAGCCTTCATGGGGACTGTTGGTTAGTCCTCTCAGCATGCTCAGTGGGAACAGATATGACATGTGGTATCCAAGTGCAAGAGACACGCTTGACATTCCGGGCTTGTGTTTTCTAGAACTAACCCAAATAATGATAACAAGGACATGGATACCAGCTACAGCAAGGGGGAGACTTCTTCAGTGCCTGATGGTTCAGTTGACATTTAGGAATAGTTTCTGTTGAGAGAAATTATTAGATAAGTTGAAGATGTTTGCTCTAAATTCAAAGTATTTAACATTTTCTAAGATTTGTATTTTTATTATCTAGATGTCTTATTCTAACTTTCAAATTGATAAAATGAGGTGGTTTGTGTATATTCTATTGAGCTTTGCACACTTATTGAAAACCATGCTTAACTCATACTTGACTATAGAGGCCTATAGGAAAATCACTCATGGTCTTTACACTTACATGCAGAAAGGTTCTAATGCTGAGGCTGTATGGTACATGAAACGTGGTTACAATGCAGTGACAACATTGCATCACTACTCTTGTTCCCTCTTGCCATAAACAATACACAATCTGTAATAAATTCACAGTTTGTTTGAAGTCACACTGTTTTGATGATTTGTCTTTTAGTCTATGAGGGGGCACGTCTAAGGCGCCGCATCTCGCTGTGCAGAGTTGCATCCCCTGGGCACGCCAGAAACCTATGATTGTGGGTTCGAATCCCGGTTCGCCCTGATTATGTTTCTCGGTTTGTCAACACCATACCCGTGCTCGTGGGTTTCACCGAAGTGGTAAACGTCCGAGACCTGCATCACTTCGGGCTTTCCTCCCACACTAAGCTGACACGCCGTGATATAACTGGAATACTGTTAAAAGCTGCGTTAACCCCAACTCACTCACTCACTCTAGTCTGATTCGCTGTAATTAGCAATAGATTACCGTACTTGCCTTCTGATTCACAACTGTTCGTGTTGTGCAGTAAACACAATTCCAAACCTGCAGACATCCTAAACAGTCCGTTCCAAGGTACTGATGTTTGAAAAATGTAACTGGAGATTTGGGCTGGAGATTGTTGTTAGTATGTGACTGTCAAATATATTTTTATTCTTTTGGTCTAATGTAGATATATGTGTTTGTTTATTGTTTAGTAACATTATTGTTCAACAGTCTTCCAGCTATATGACAGTGGCTTGTAAATAGTTCAATCTAGACCAGATAAAACAGTGATTGATAATATGAGCAATGTCTCATGTTGTCAGGGTACGACACACATCAAGCCAGAACTACCCAATCTATAAAGTCACCTCTTATGACAAGCATAGGTTGCTGGAGTTGGAGGAAATGGGGCTTAACTTCCTGTTCAACATTATTGCACATATATAGAGACGTGTGCATGTACTAGTCTCGACTAATGCCAGCTTTATAGTGCTAGCCCACCATTTCAGACAAAGTATCACTGGAGACCCGGGTATAATGTGTGCAGCCCATTTCTGGTGTCCTGAGCTGTGATATTGAGGGAATATTGTTAAAAGAGGCATAAAACCATACTCACTCACTCACTCAGTATAGAGAAAAGAGACTCCAAGCCGACCAGTCTTTTTTTTACCCTGCCTAGCTCTCAGGGTAAAAGAAAGTATTGGCTTGATGCAGCCAGGGGATCAAACCACCGACCATCCACTCTCCGGGCAGACATTCTATCCACAAGAATGCTCAGGGCATATCATTACTGATGTGCTGATACTGTGCCCAGAGAACCATACATAATTGTTGGAATAGAGGCATCACTAGAGTAGCCTGAATTATTTTTGTCCTATTTGATATGGGGAAACTAGTGAAATATGACATTTATTACATAGCTGTGTGCTGATAGACAAATGTACTCAGGTATAAGCTAGAAATAGACTCATCAGATTATCCTGAGATAAGATCACACAAAAATCCATCGCTACAAATTCCAGGAAGCAGTTTATATAAATACCAAGATCCAGTCACCATGTACTTTCATTGTTTAAGCTGAGGAGCCTGTACAGAGTGGGATGTTTGATGGAGCCTTGGGCACACCATGCAGTGTTCGATATCCATGAAGATCCGGGGTAAAATAGATCTTCAGCAATCCATGCTTGCCGTAAAAGGTGACTAACAGGATCTGGTGGTCAGGCTCACTGACTTGGTTGATGCATGTCATCGTATCCCGATTGCGTGGATCGATGCTCATGATGTCAATCACTGGATTGTCTGGTCCAGACTCGATTATTTACAGACCGCCGTCATATAGCTGGAATATTGCCGAGTGCGGCATTAAACAACAAAAATCAAACCAGTGTTTGAGAACGGAAGTGTAATGCAGACTTGATGGTCCCAAAATTTCAAAGAATGATTTTCTTTCTGTACAATACTGAAATAACATTTAACTATCTGTCAGCAGCAACAAACTGGGCTGATGCAGTTCACCAAAGTAATTAACACTGAGAACGATACTTTCATCCCGCTTGGTGGTATCTTGACATGACTTGGATCACTCACTATGTGCAAATCAGAACTTGTACCCTTGGAGATACTGATGAATCTTCATAATTATTATTAATTGTTGAAAAATCTATTTAATTGTTTTGGATGATTAATTAAGCGTGCCTTGATGAATGTGCATCATTAACAACAGCAGGTGTAGTGTCACCTGGATATACTTGGTTCCCTCTGCTCTGAAACATTTACTCACTCGCTGTCACCACAGCATTTGAATCATGACATCACCATTTTTGGTCCCTGAACCCCATTGTTACAGGCAACCTAAAATATATCAGGTGTTGCACTTATATACCACTCCAATCTTGATTGTTTTATGTATCATGGAAAGGTAAAAAGCATATCCCAGATTCTCATATGTGAAGTGTATGTTTCAACAGAATGACTTATCTGATTATCCCTATCAAAAGATAAGAAGTATATGTGATGAAAACAAATACTTCAAATACATCATGGTCCAAATGATCTGCTGTCAGGGTATGGTATGTCCAGTGAATGAAGAAGTTCTGAAAGTGATGTGTGCACACATTTTTAATGGCCTACTTGACCCATCTTCGGCAGGTGGTCTACCACTAGACGAAGGAGGCGGTCGCACAACTACGAGACAGTTTGGCATACTAGAGATGGCTGCAAGTGTTCAATCACTGTGCCCATTCATTATGGTAGTAAAATGGGCAGTTGGGTCAATTGAGTAGTGTTCACTCATCACGCTCATGATCAGGTTCCATCCTCAACACATTCCTGCAATACTTCTACATGCATCAAGAAATAAACACCCACTTGAACAACAATTGATGATAATCAAAGACAAAACTCTTGGAAAAAACTGTTTATTTCAAATTACATGTTTTGAGTTTCAAAGTTTAGATGAAAACCAATTATGTTACATACTATAGCAGTCTGAGAGGATAACAATTGGTCACAACCAAACGAAAGATCTGATTGGCTGCTACACTTTAACATGAGATCTGATTGGTAAAGAACATCCTATCAGGTCAAAAATAACATGACTCGTATACAGATACATTTCTGAAAAAAAGGAAGATATTCATCACATTTTATCCATTGTACTTATATAATGAAGAATTTGTATGTGACCACTAAGAATAAACTAAAGCTTGATGATGCTGTTTTGATTGTTAAATATCTATATTTTGACTAACATTGTGTTAGTGTCAACCGTACAACAGTACATATAATACGATCAAATCTTGTACAAATAAAATATGTTCTAAAGAGGACAAGACCAGAGTTAACCTTCAGTAAGATGCCACATTTTTAGCCCACTGAATCTGACCTAGCATTTTTGAGCTGTAATTGTTAATGTCTGTTTTTGTCCTCTGATAATGTGCTAAGTCAGTGTGTGAAATACACGTTAAATTCCCAAGTGTATATATGTATACAGACCTATTTACAAGTATTGATGATTTCAACTTTCACATAGAAGAGCTTGCAGTAAATGCATGAAAATCATATTAGCTTCACATTCAAATATTATACAATGACTCAAGAACCCAAATCAAGAATTCCAAATAACTGTTGTAAAAGCTCTGCTATTTCATAGCGTCAAAAATTAACAAAATAGTTCAGAATTTAATGAATTAAAACAACTGGAAGCATACTTCTCAACATTTTTCTGATGAATATTGGCCTCACCGTCAGAAAATATACAACCTGCATACCCGGTGCTGCAAGGAATCACACCGACCAATGGCCAACTGCATGTCATCAAACATCAGTATCAAGTTCTTAAAAATGTCTTCATTCACTAAATCCAAGGTTAAAACTCCTGCAAAAATATGAACACATGCAATTGCACATTGGTCAATTCAAGATTCCTTGTCCTTCCTTCTTGTCTTTAAAATAAGTATATGCCTATCTAATGATGCTGCCTGTATTTCAAGATGGCTCGTCAATGACAACTTCGTACAGATCATACTTCATCCCAAGATGTTAACGAGATCCATATTTTCTTTTTTTTCTGATGCCCTCTTCTTCAATTTACCACTGAAATAGGGGGAGAACAAAATTATTGTTACATTGTTGCTTTGAGGGACTGGCTAGGTGTCAGCATGCACACATCAGAGTTGTACATTTGTTGCCTCACTACTATAAATATATATAGTTGATGAATATTCTGTCAAGGGTACTGGGTCAGCGTAGGCATAATTTATAGCAAAAAAGACAGAAGTTTGGAGACCTATATGAAGTGATCAGTATTTGCCAATCCAAAATAAATTCGAAGCTATGGCAATATTTACATTGACCTACAAAATCAACTACATGTGCATACACACAGAACTACCTGTACCTATTAGGAAATGATACAAGTAACAGCACAGAGAAAAAAATTCATTCTCTCATTTCCATTGCCATGCAAATTTCTCTTAATCAGCAAATATGTCTCAGCTTGAGAAACTAGAAAAAGTTGTATTTCTAGTTACAAGTAGCCTTAAACACACAGATAATGTTTAAATATTTCACCATGAATCAAAGTCGTTGTGACACCAGGTGTTTGTTTAAGGGACTCTGATGGTATTCTCAGTTTCTAAAGCTTGAGCACCAACTACGCAGGTCGTAAGAAGCAAATGTGTTACATGTATAGATGAAACAGTTATTGCAGTAGACAGGACAAAAAACAATCAATATACAAATGTTTGCAGTCCGGTAACGAGACAATTAAGAAACACCTGCAACCTTTGATTAGCAAGTATTTTGTGATTCGGGAAAACTTCGTACAGTTACAAACATCGGATTTTTCTCATGCAAAAACGACCATTTTTCTTCGGGGACAGGTGAAACTGGACAAAATAGAGTAAGATATCCATGACAGAATTCCCTCAAAGTGTATGTCTGCCCTGGAGGTCTACAGCATAAATGAGACTTGAAGACATCACTAAAGACCACACATAGTGCTGTACTGAACACAATATACACCATTGTTGAACTGGGGTTCTTCCTGATGGACACACACTGAAGACTTCATCCTAATAACAGCACATGAGGAGCTTGGTGAACATTGTCCACCACCATTAACGGTGTGCAGTTATTTGCATAAGACATGGTTAAATCTGTTTCTAGTATCACACCATGCCAATATGCAAAGAGAAGAACCACCTGCTGCAGTTTTACTCCACTCAAACTGAGTCGAAAATGTCAGAACACGAAATTATACACACATTTGAAAGAACATAAGAAATGTGTTGAGTCAGCAAAATGTGTGGACTACGTATACTACATACATTAAAGCTGAAGTTGCACCACAACATTCTCACACACATCCACCCTAATACATCCACATCATAAGAAGCTCTGAAACTACAGAAGTAGGCCTCTGGACAACACCTTTACACTGCTGCTATCAGGGAAACATTTTGGCATCTAAATTCTAACCATGAAAATACCATTTGATAAATTTCCTGTTTAACCAAGACAACTGATCAGCTAATATGAAATATGGGGGCAATGGTTCTAAATGTTGATTTGACCACAATGGCTTCCTGATAGAAGAAGTACCTCTAAAATTCTCTGTGACACAGAGCACTTTTAATCTGAATCCTGATCTAGGGCAAATAGTTTAGCACAGCAAGACAGCAATAACAATAATAGCTCTTCTATTCCATGAGATAATTATACAATGTACAAAGTTGTACTTTGTTGTACAGTTTGTGCTAAGGCACCCCATATGACCCATCAGATCAGGATGGGCACAGCGTGATAAATGCCGCAATGCCTGGCTCCCAGTAAACAATACCTCACCAGAATTCTTCACTGATTTCTTACCACTTACATGCTGTGATGAGACTCATTGGGTCACAATCCCACTATTTCCTTGATGGTTCCCTACCTATATCCAACACAGACGTGTACAGATTACTTCAACCTATCAGAAGCACCACACACATGAAAGAGAGGAAAGTACAAGGGGTCATGTCAAAAGTTGGCCTTACTGTTAGATGAAAAGGAAGTCATTACATGTGTCTACAAGCAAAAATACTATGAACTCTTGAAATGACCCCTGCAATATACAGAAGATATTTTCGAACCTGGTCAAAATTTGATTGCATGTTATTCATGTCAAATGACAAAACACATTCATAGATAAGAAAAACTTGTCAAATATCCCCAAGTTCTCAACATCACTTCTAGTGCAATGAATGAATACGTACTTCGAAAAGTCAATTCATAGTCCTATTAAGCAGCCCTATGAGCAGTCATGACATTTAGTCTCAATGAGCTATATGGAGAAAGGTCTACGCATATTGTACAAGCAGTCTAGAATATCTTAATAAATGAATTGCAAAAATAAAACGGACCTGCATGAAAAAAATCTCTTGTAAAATCGAATTAGCACTACAGGGCAGCTTGGGTTACTTTGTACAGTGACATAATTATCAATATATTCTGTATCTAGAGATAGGTAGAGATGAACAAAAGAGACTTCAGCTTTGAAGCCAGAACAAAACACAAATTATTTACCAAGGTGGGCAAGTATATTATATACAATGTAGAGTTAAACTCAAAATAAGGACAATGTGCCGATTTAACGTACATGTTAGGCCACAATAGATTAATTATTAGATTAATATCCTAATATCTGCAAAAGGAGACGCAAGACATTCCTTAGATCTATTTGACAGAATTCAGTGGAAGTCCATGACCCCACACCTTTTGGATCATGCAATGACCACTGGTAATCCTGATAAGTTTAATGCAAAAGGTACTAGGATGACGACCTCATGATTAACCCATTGTGACCTTCATTTCGGTGGGGTTCTTCTCGATGTTTTCATGGCTCATATTGTCCTTGCAATTCGCCCGTTTTCTTGCATTGTACACAAGGCAGTAATGACTTAATACATACATAGATTTTATTAAGTGATAACTGACCCATGTGTTGTGCTTATAAGACAAACAGATTTTGACTTATACTGCATTTGTTTCCAATTCAAACCCGTATACATAATTAAAGGGGAACTACGCTCCAAAGTCTTTCTCTGAATTTGAAGTTCAGGTGATGTAATGGAACTTAGGAGAAACTGTAACACTGTGCACTTAGGCTACACATTTACTGTTGGATTGATATATTTCATTAAATCTAGGACAACATAAGTGGTGCTTGAATGACCTTAATCACACTGGGACCGACTATTTGCCTGAGCCTAGTCCCCCTTTAAGGGTAGTGCTGGACAATTATTATGAACATGATTATTCAAAAGCCATAAAGATTAACTATGTTCATAACATTCAGATTCATCCAAAAGCCGATGGGAATTTCTGATAGTATATAATAAAAACCTTTTCTTGTGTTACAGTTATTTTCATAGTAGCATGATGAGTTGACAGAAGCAAGTTCTGCAGATATTTCTCCTGATAATGATTTGTGTTACATTTCAATTATTTGGTTAAAATTGAGCAAATAAGACAATAGTTATTTCCATGGAGCCTACAACTGTTGCACTTTGGGGTATCAAGATTTATTACATCATAAATACTGGGGAAACACCGCCATGTCATACAATAATTGGTAAATAAAATGCTGCTCTAAAATAGCTTAAGATATGAAGAACAATCTGTGCGGGTCATGTGACATCGTTGCTATGGCAATGACCTCCCTGACCCGAACCAGTCCAAGCTGGCAGAGTGGAATGTTCACATCAGACAAGTTGTCAAGCCACATGACCATTTTCAGAAGAAGTGTCACCATGGTAACAAAGACCCAAGAACATCACTCTACCAAATCGAGACCAAGTGAAAATTATGACTTCTTGAAACAAGTACAAACACTATATATACTGTATCAATTATTCCTCAACTCATACAAATATCTAAAATGCAACAGCACAGAAATCAATATTCAGCACCATTATTTGCTTTATTGAGAATTATTTCTTTTCCCACCTGGAGATGATCAAAATGTACTGTAATAAAAAAATAATTTCACTCAAAAAAAACAATCTCTGAACTATATGAGAGCAATTGTCTGACAGACCCATGTATTTTCCATCATCCAAAGACTCAAACACTAGTTCAAGTTTTACTGAAAACCACAACATGGCCGCTGACACCTCCAGATAGGAAAAGGCAGGTTTCTTCTAAAACTAGTCACAATTTTCACCTGGTTTCTGAGGTATTTCGTCAAACCGCTGTCCTTGTGATGTTGATCTATGGCTTCTCAGCAACATCTATACACGATGCTCAGTAAGAGTTCACGTAAACGCCTACCATCAACATATGTATGTACAACCAGGCTTCGCAGCCACTGCATCCATGTTCAACGCAACACTTCAAGGAAGACCTACGTTCAACATAAGTGCATATAACCACCTGTAACGCAAGCACCCACAGCATCGTTAAATGTACACACGTACAACTGTAATGCTGCTTGCAATGGAAAAATATATCGGCCACAAATTTTCAATTGGCAACAGTATAGGTCCCTTCCTAGGCCAGACTTTCTGCTTTTCAGATATAAAAGTTAAAGTTTCAACAGGTGACATCCTTTTTTAACTCATGCATAGTACTCCTTTTCTGATTGGTTGATTGGAGAATATGTTGACTTTTTCCTTGGTTCGTCCAATGCATAACTTCCTTCATCCTTCTTCCTCATCCTATACACTATGAACATGACGAGTAGTATTGCACACAGTAAACCAACAACAGCTCCGCCAATGATGGCTGAAAAACAAAAATAACATAATCTGACATTTTGAAAGTTGTATGTGATCAAATAAAAATGTTACATGCAGGTCAGTATGGCTTAATGCCTACCACCCAATCATATCACAGCAGGGCACACCAGTATGGGGAATCTAAGCTAGGTCTTGGCTTGATGTTTAAACATGTTAACAACTGGGCTACCCCAATAGTAAAACAACTAACATGGCAGAATTGTACTTAATGTAAGAAATGACAGCTTTGACGTTTCAGTAGCCCCCTTTTTGTGAAAAAGCGCACTATGCCTGCAGGCAATTTGTTTTTCTAAAGCAACTGCCTGTGTGTGGGGGTGAACATTGCTTACAATGGGGCCATATTCCAAGTGTACCACAAGAAGTTGTCCGCCATCATATAGCTGGAATATTGCTGAGTGTGGCATTAAACAGCAAACAAACAAGAGGTTGTACTTGAGTCTGGGCCAGGCATACAAAGGTGTCTGAGTGGGGTTTAACGTCACATTCATGATTATTGCACTTATCATGCTTATATAGCGACGTGCATGTGCGTGCATGTCTGGCTGCTTGTACTAGTCCAGACTAATGTCGATTTCATAGTGCTAGCCCGCTGAGATACTATGCCATAGTATAACATGAGTACCCCACTCAGACACAGAATACTGACTCCGTGCCAACCAGTCCTTGTTTTAGCCCTTTAATGCCGAGCGCCAGGCAACACATACCATCTTTTGGTATGACACCATTGTTATCGAACACCCGACCTTACACACTCTGGGCGGATGCTCTACCAGTTGACCACCGTAGCGGTTCAAAGCATACAAAAGGTTGATGACATGAACAAAGCACATGACAGATGGACTGACACGTGTCACCATCAGCCTGATCACACATTGTCACCTCAAATTCTCATTTTAATCGCCACTTATCACATACGTGGGGTGCAGGTGCCTATTCTGTCACCAAATACCCACAGGTTTCAATTGATTGGGAGCCAGTAGAAGTCTTTCCCTCAGCCTCAAACACCCAGTATGCAACACTGACCTGCAAGAAGTCCTGGCTGAGTCATGATGTGAGCAGAGGCCACAGAAGCCTTTTCTGGATCATCGCCTGTTTCATTATTCTCATCATCTTCCGCTGAAATAAAGGATAACAAAATAAAATTGATGGAAAAAATCTGTTCTTAAGCACGAAGGTTTTAACAAATGTCGTTTGTTTTTGTATTTGTCTTTGTTTTACTAAAAACCTAAGATTACAGGTCTGGTTCCACTAAATCATGTCTCTGATGGGTGCACATTAAGTTAGGTCGACAGACAAGGAATTCCAAATGTGAACCTGACAGTTGAGTAGATTGCTGTAGGTAGTCAAGTACTACATACATTGAAAGACTGTCCAATGCTTCACAAATAGATGTGATTGTAAACAGAAGTGGGGCAGAAAGGGCTGTGGGTACCACAGGGTCACACCAAGATACAGTGATGTATACAGGAGGGTACCCAGCTGAAACAAGCAGACACTGGGGTTTCTCACTACCCAGGTATACACAACAAACTAAAATATTTTGTAGCGCCTTTGAGAATAGCTTTGGTTGAGATCGTTACAGTAGCTTTCTTGACACAATCAACTCGAAACATGTTTTATTTCCACTATTACTGAGACAATTCATGGATTTGAGCCATGGTTACAGTAATGAAAGCAACAAAACATGGTGCCTAGTCAGCTTGGTTGCATACCGCTGGGACCAGTATTTCAGTCATATCATGGCAGCAGCTACACATGGTGGGAAACCTGGAACAATACTTGACATTAACCACTTGCCGGAAACCCTCGAGCATGGTGCTGACAGACCAATACACAGTAGAGCAAAGGAGGGAATGGAACCCACAACCAGCAGATCGCAGGCAATGCTGCACAACAAATTGTGAACATCGACAGCATGTGTCCATTGTCAATGCAACTGAATTCCATGTTCTCCTAGAACTTGTATTCATAACATAGCTATTAATATGCATTATAATTTTGCCATACTTTAGGAAAAAATAATTTGTTATATATTCTTAAGAATGTCATTTTGTAATACATAATTTTAGGTTACTTACGTATTTCATTATTGTCCTTGTGATCCAGTTCTGTATCAGTTGCAGGTGTTTCTGGGGCAACAGTGTACTGAAACAATAAATATGATTCATGAACATGTTCTCTAAAAACCATAATATGGCAAATGGCCTTCTACTAAGAGAGATGCAGTATTCTACCGGATGGCAAAACTCCTTACCCCTGGCTCCTGTGGTTTGGGCTTGCGTGGTTTACCTCCCTCCACCACGATACCGCTATCTGGCTCGATCAAAGGTGGGACCGTTGCTTCCTGGGTTGTGATTGCTATAGAAATAAATGCAGTAAGTTAGTTGGATGTCCCTCGTAGCCTTATTGCACTAACACCAAATAAGGGCACAGCAAATTGTACTCAATAGAGAAATTAACTCAGACCTCGACCCAAAGAGGAAACATGTTTACTATTAGTTGGTATAGCATGTCCTCCTCAACTTTATAGCAGCAATAACAATGAGTAAGAGCTAAACAAATGCTTATCCTGTTGGAGTCTAGAAAGAGTTAGGACTTAGCTGCTTTGTACGGTTTTCAAGATATATCACAGCTTGTCAGCTTGAGCAAAACCTGAAGTGATGCAGGTCTTGGGCATTTACCACTTTGGTGAAACCCACAAGCACAGATCAAGCCATTGTACATATAAGCCACAATCCTACTCGATGACCATTTTTACCATCAGATTCCCTTCTAGCTGGTTCTTGTAACAAGCATTTCAAATTGGGGAGCTATTCAGTCGTGGAATCCCTCAAGTATGCAAGATAACAGAAATGACAACATGACATCCACAACCATTACTGATATAGTGTGACAATTCAAAAGAATGCAAGGAAACACGTACCTGGACTATAAACGGATTTTAACAAAAATACTATGCCATTTTTCAGCATTTCACCAAACCATAGAGCAGTGACCAGGGATAGATAATATCCAATCATATCCAACTAGTCCTAAAGATAATTCAGATGTTATTTATGTAACAAAATCAGATTTTTGTGTAAAAATTAGGTCCTGCACAGTTGTTCACTTGTCTTAGTGCTGTGTCTTAACCCTGTCACAGTAGCCTTTATAGTAATGTAATGAACAACTGAATGCTCAAGCTGACACAGAATGATTGACTAAAATGGCAAACACCAGATACGTTGTTTTACCTGGTAAGTCAAATGCATCATTTCAAGGGGTTCATCATTGTAAAACCCACGATGCCACAGCCTCAGAAGACCATTGCACGAGGGCTAAATGTAAAACCTTCAATGTTACAAAACTTACTAATGCATTTTTCCGTTTGACCATCATGGATAGGTACTTCAGTTCCATATATTTTTTCACCTCTGGCATCAACACAGAAGCATTCTGATCCGTGGCACTGAAGTTCCTCAAATTCTCCATTCATCTTACACCGTGGACGGAAAGTGCCATACATTGGAGAACGGATATGCTGCACAAGCTTGAACACACATGGGTGTAAGTTATCACCTGGGAGTAAGGAAAAAAGAAAAAGGAACATAATAAGCATAAACAAATAAGCTGATGTCAATAATCACTGATTATAAATAACAAGGGAAAAGGTGAGCAGGGTCCACAAATATCCCCAAACTCGACTCCAAGATATTTGTAAGTTCAAAACAAGAAAAAAGAAATAAATTTTTTCAGAAAATCCACCAGAGAATCCATGTAGTAGTCATAAAGTTATAGGCTGCACAAATGATTCATTTTCTTTAATCCAAATATTGAGATCAAACTTCACACTACATATCTCCCATTGGTATAGAACATTCACCAAGTTTGAAAAGAATCTATTCAGTACTGTCCAAGTTGTAGGACGCACAAGAAAATGTCCTCCAAAGAATAGATGACAGAATTCCTTGGTATAACTACATACCCCAGCCCTTTTAGGTCGGGGCTATAACAAAGCACTGATGTTGCATTTCCTAACTGCTGCTGAGGCTAGTTTGTCTGTACCAAACTAATACATATGTCACAAGACCATACAGTAGCCCTAAGAAGTGAACATGGGTCTCAAATCAAGAAATGTTACCACAAAGCTACTTCACAAGTCTAAATATCATCAGAATAAATTAAAACAGTAGCCTCCCCTTTTTAAGCTAAAGCGGGTTTGCTATTCACACTTCTAATCTCAGTGATAGTGCCAGAGACACACAGCATTAGGACACTTTTGATGCCACATTCTTCAATTCATAACCAAATTTGAATGAAATTTTGATGATCAGCAAATGTCCCAGAAAATGAACGGCCCTTAATCGCTGCAAATTGGCTTAACTGTTCTTGCACATTTGACTGATGATTATACATAGCATATTAAATATATCAAGCCCATTTTACAGGGTCTTCAAGCTTTTCAAAAACAAAACACTATGTTCAAAATGTCAAAAGATATGTTCAGGAAATGCTGAAGTCAAGCTAACTCTTACACTGAAAGGCCATGATTATACATACCATTTTCACAATCTGGTGCCCGTGGTGGGTCAAGTGCAGTACCGGGTATTTCTGCACCATTACTGTCGGAGCACCAACATTTTCCTGTGCCTGGGTGTCCACGGCACTGCATCGGTGCATACTGGCCACTGGGTGTACAACGGGGAACATAGTTTCCTAGCAGGTGCTTGCTGGCTTCCCGGAGGTTCTCGCAAGGTGTCAGGGGCTTAGGTGTGGTAGAGTCTGAAACAAGAGTGTATTGTGTAGTGATTGCTGATTAACAAGGACTCCTGGGGCAGTTGTTTGAGCAAGGATTCTGAATAACATATGCTCCTGTAGCATGATGGAGGTTCAAATTCTTAAAACCATCAGTGAGTGGATTTATGCCGCTTTGTACATTATTTCAGCAATATCATGCAGGAACACCAGAAATGGGACTTCACAACTTGTAGTACCCAGTGTATGGGCCCTTATGGCCTTCAGTAAATTTACAAGTTGATTTAATTGTCACAATAAGCTGCAGGTTTTGTTGTTGTTTTTAAATAAAGGCGTGAACAGTTTAGTTAGGGCCTGTGGCTTCTAAAGTCTGATGGTCTTGATGTTAGCCTGGCATTTTTCTTTATGTCAAATGCTGCATATAGGGTACAATGTACCCAATACACAAGGGGTGAGTGAGTGGCTATGGTTTTATGCATCTGTTGTAATATAACCATATCACAACACCAGATGTCATCACTGATTGTCAGGGATTCATTCATAAACTTTCATCGCTATTTCTCCTTTTACTCCCAATGGAATCTGTTCCGGGGGGATAATTGAGACTGGTTATTCTCTGGCATTGACATTTTCTATTTGGGAATCAACCTGTGTCCTTGGTGTGCCAGGCCAAGCCACTAGGCAGTCCAACCATCCTCATCAACATGGAAGACGACTCAGTCATCAATAATTCAAACATAGGTAGCGCCCAACAGAGGGAGATGACCCTGCATCTACATTTTGTATGGGACTGTTGAGAACATTATGTTTTGCTGGTGCTTCTCCCACCTCAATAGGACTACTTTGCTCTCTGCAATCATCTAACCATGATTCTGACAGTTAACATTGATTACTGCTGTAATCAAACAAGGAGACTAGGGATATATTTTTTTAATAACTTAATCATTGATGCTGATGACTGATTGCTGGTACCTTGATACGACTTTTCGGGGCACATACACTGCTGAAGTCATTTTTGTGGTTTGGTTGACACGGATGATGACCGCTGTGCACCTGAATCCGGTGACATCTAGTCATACATGATTTCTAGGGAGGCCTGACAGGTCTACGCCTACGGTGCAGATTTAAATATTCTATATGTTGCTTTTGATGATTCAAACATTTCAGATAAACAACTTTGTAATTACTGATCTTGTAATCTCTTTGACACAATACATTTCAGTGAATGGACAGAATTAAAACAATGTGAATGCCACATATACTCCAATCCAGTCTTTACAAAGATAGATTCAATTGCCAATAACCATGTATTTGTATTACCTTTAGCACGCTTATCATCTAATAACAGTTTGTAAAAAATATAAGAGACTTTAGTTGCTTTTCCTGACACATTACAGGTCGATATATTTGGATATAAAGGGATTTTCTGCCAAGTTCTCCGTATATCATATATGATGGGGTGTTCTTTCATGAATAAGTCTAAATGATAAAAGTTCAGCAATTTTCACATGATTATGATTTCAACTCATCAATTAGTGCATGCGATCAGGGCTAGCACTGCTCACCAGAAACTGACTATAATTAAGCCCTCTATTGTTCTACGGTCTACAGCTTGCTGTTGTTTTATCAATGTTGGGCATGCTGGGTTATAACCGGCTGACCATGCATTCACTTCCCAATGTGATTCCCAGTGATGTATGTGTATGCAGGATTGAGTAACAACGGGGTCAGGAAGTGACCCCATCCCACATCCTACTGTGACATTTATTGCCACGACATTCCCACACTCCTACAGCCCGGGCCACCTACCCTGTATTAACTCTGATGCTCATCCACCTCAGTACTCACACCATGCTCAAAAAGGTCTCATACAGTTTACCAATCTATACATCACTTATATGCTTATCATTTATTTTGTTATTGTGAAAAACTACTTGATTGTAAGGAACACATCTGAAATTACAAAGTGAATAACAAAAATAAACAGTGTAGGTCTGTCGGAAATGGTTCCTCAAATGTCAAGGCAGGTCATTCACACATTCCTGCAATTACATATCATCAATAAGGGCTACAGCTAACCAGATACTGTATTACCGCTGTTATATAGCTGGAATATTGCTGAGTGCAGCGTTAAACAACAAACAAATAAATAAACATAGTGTACTGTCCCATATTTACATGACATCTACCCCAACAATCCATTCATTCACCACTGACTTTAAACTCCAAAATATCAAAATTCATAAATGTTTCTAAAAGTAAATACTTCTACATATCGTTCATAACACAGTGAGCAAGCATGGTAACATACAACATGCAACAGAAGTGCACCTCCATGACAACAAGTGATACTACCATGGACGCTAAATATACAATCGTATTAAGTGCCCAAGATACTACCATGAGTGAGTGAGTAAGTTGGGTTTAATGCCGCTTTGAACAGTATTCCAGTTACTGTATATCATGGTGTGTCAGCCTAATGTGGGAGGTAAGCCAAATGTGATGCAGGTCTCAGACATTTTCCACTTTACCTACAAGCATGGGTATGGTGATGATAAACCTAGAAACATAATCAGGGTGAACCACGACCTCAGCCCATGATCATAGCCAACCCCTGCCCACCCCAATACTACCATGAAGAGTCGGTACAATTCACTGATGCTTTACAATACTCAACAGGGCATAAAAAACTGAAAAATGTGTTCATGAATTTGAAAAAAGATATGTCAGCATAAAACAATTATGTACATGTATATTACGTGTGAGGTACCTTTTAAATTATTTAAACTAAAATAAATCATAATTTTACTTTGCTGCAGGTCCTTCAGTACATAGTGCTTTGTTTGATTCATTGTTACATGGTAAGGAGTCAGTAGGTCAGATGAACGTGTGATAAGCCAGGAGAACCTAGGATGGTCTGCAACAAAGCCTGTTACTGTTGACCTTTCACTCAGAGCAGGAACACCAAGGTCAGGGATTGTCAGTCCTGGTGTTTGACTGTAGCGTCCTGACATCATCACTTGCATTGGAGGATAGTGTATTAGTATCACCCAGGGTGCAGGTAAACCCATGCTGAGATAAAACTGAGCAAATTGGCCAAGTAGCTATTGCAAACAAATGAGGACCAGTTCCTTGTGTCTCCATCTAGAATTAACTTTCTAACATGACTGTGCAAGGACGTCACAATGGTATCAGTACATGTATTGTGTGTATGGTTCTACCAATATCATATTTGATGCAGGTGGACCCTTGCTGTTATCAAACCGCAAATTGGCTCAAGTATCCGTCATATTGCAGTCGGATGAAGATTATACTTGAACCTCCAGCTGTGTTAAGTATACCAATATGCAAACAGTTCATTTCTGAACAGAGTGAGCTCTGTTCCATGCTGCTGAGCTGTGCAGTCACAAGGAGTTAACTTGTAGGGAAGATGAACTGCATCATAAGTACAAAGTGATAATTACACCATTTGGCATAAGTTAATGGGTACAATCTGAAACAGTATCTATCGATATTGCAGCTGTATCGTGGCGGCACACAACGAATAGGCTTTACTGTTTGTATCAATGTGGTGGAATATACCAGCGCTTTAAGAACCTTGGCTTGACAAACCAATGCTTTGACCAAGGCTACACCACTCCTTCTGACACAAGTCAAAACACAAAGAGGTGGGGAATCAATCCCAGGCCTTCCGAGTGACAAGTGTGCACTGCATGGCTACCAAACAGTCCCCAAACATTGGAACAAAGCAACGCTGACAGAGTGTGTGAGTTGGGGTTTACGCCACATTTCACATTATTCCAGTCATATCATGGTGGGAGGAGATGAAGAATGTGCTTTACACATTGTATCCATGTGGGAAACAAACCTGCATCGTTTGTGTGAATAGCCAACCAGGCTAACCCTACTGCCCCACATCGGTAAGATGCCACCCAATGAATCACAAAAACACGAGTCATTGATTCATAAACCTTCAATTACTGCATGAACTGTTCTTCTCTCCATGCATGCACACCAGCCTCTGCATCATTAAACAATATGCAGGCCGACCACATCATGTGAAAACAGCTAAAACCATCAAGACTGGCTGGTGTTTCATGCTATAATGGGCAAGGGTGACAATCCAGGGATTACAAAGGTCTGCTTTTTGTACAACATGTTCATAAGTTAATTACATGCCTGTAATCTGATCTTGTTTACCATCAGACAACTGCATGAGCTTCATCTATCTGACAATCATAAGTGATGTGATACTGTGCTTGCACTGGTAAAAGTAACCCTCTGGGTCCTGTTACAAAAGAAGGTTGAAGAGAGTGTATAAACCTGCCCTGACCTACTTCAGTTAAATGGCTGTATTGTCTAAATGCCGTCACCGTGTTCAGTCTGCGACAATACGTATGTATGTATCATGTAACAAAGTGGAGGAAGTCAGCTGACAGGTGCCGCTCAACTCGACCTGGTCCCATAAATGCAGGTGCTGACATAATATGTCATGTCTCTGTAGGAGGGTAGGGACTACTTGGTCTCATGTCTCACACAAATGTATATCAGCAGACAGAGTGCTTGCACAAAATTAATGTCCCTTCATATCTCATGAATACACAAACTGATCGTGTCTCATCATATAGCAGGTGCTTGCACAAACCAGCAATGTCTCTCCATAGCAGGTGCTTGCACAAACCAACAGCGTCTCTCTATATAGCAGGTGCTTGCACAAACCAGTTATGTCTTATCATATAGCAGGAGCTTGGACGAACAACAGTGTCTCACCATAGCAGGTGCTCGCACAAAATGAGTCATCTCTTCACAGCTCATGAATACACAAACTGATTGTCTTATATCATATAGCAGGTGCTTGCACAAACCACTGTCATATACATATTACACATTTTGGCATCTGAATTCCATTTATATATCAGTATCAAATCTATGAAAAAGGTAATAAAGGGAAAATACTGCTGGTTAAACCACTGACCAAAATATAACGTAACACTAACATGGATAGAAGAACAGATGAAATAGAACATATGAACCTCTAAATGGTATACAAGATATTTACTGTAACCTGAAACAATATGACCTAATTGAGACAATGAGGGGACATCTCGTTTTCCTGGCAGATAATGAAGCTAGGTCAGTGTCTAACATCCCTACACTGACCCATTTCCACTCTGGGTCAACCCACATACCACGTTAAACAATCAGCTCTAATTGATTTCTTTTCCATTCCTCCCCCTCAGCCAAAGCAAGCTATCATAGCAATACAACAGTAAGTATAATGTCACACATGCTAATTGCATACCCCTTACACTTTTCGATTGTTGGATCATACATCTACAACTAATTTGTTTTTTGTTTTTTACCATTCTCTTATCAAATTGCACAACTTGTACATGTTGTAATTAGAAAATATTCTTTCCAACACAAAAACTACACCTTCATAATATCAAATCAATTTCAATTTTGAAAAGTTTTTCTTAATGGGCACAAAACTGTTTCCGTCAGAAGACATCAACGGTGATTTGACGGAGACAAAATTATTTGTAAGAAAAATCTTTAGATTATATTTGTCACACTTAACTTTACAAGCTATTGATCTTGGATAAATAACCTTCTTTAATTTAGCTTGGAAGATCTTTCAGGCAAAGCACTTTCTTTAAATACAGGAAATAAATAACTGATCCAAAACTTTGTTTGCAGAATATCACTGAGCGACAGCCTGTCTCCACTTCTCATAGTTGAAGTTCATATCAGGTTTCAACAAATACAAAGTTTTAATCTCACAAATGCAGAAGATGGGTGTAAATAGACATTTCGAGAGGAAGCTAAAGCATTCATAATGTGATCTTAGTACACTTGAGAACACTTTCAGCTTCAGCAAAAATGTCCTCTACATAAACTAACACTGCATGGCTTGAAGTCAAAACTTCCACAAAGATTCTTAACTAACACTGACCCACAGAACCTTCCCACAATGCCTCAGAACTTACCTGTTTCTACTTCTTCAGTCATACGGCTGCCACTACCTGACCCTGAAGATTTATCAAGGTCATCGTCATCATTTTCGTCTGGATCTATTCCCGAACCACTTTCTTCAGGAACTTCTTCCTGTAATACAAAAGAACATCATCTTGAATTCTTATTTATTTACAGGATATAAATACAGCAGGCAGACTTGGTGAGGCAAAGTAATGCACTGTAGTTCCAGACTTGAGGTGCTTGTGTTAATGTGCAACTACTAACTAACCACACAGCATCCAATCTGATGTAGATTGAAGGGACCAGCTATTAGAAAATTCAGCTCTTGGGCATAGAGCTCCGAGAGCAATATGGTTCTTTTACAGGACAACAGAGCAGCATCACTTCAATATTAATGATACATCCTGAACACAATAGGAAATCTTTCCACAACTTATTTTAGACTAGTCATAGATACACATCACTGCAAAATTAGTCCTTACAGATTTATGCTTGTCTCGCACACAAGTGGAGTTGTCAACTACCGATTTAGCTTCAAGTTATGAATACTTTACTAATGCAGGCTTTACCAATGGGGCTTTAGCCTGCAGGCGATTTGATGTATGCAGACTCTCAAAGAGACCTATAAATGATTCCAGATAGGTAGCAAAGGCCCAAGTTTTTAATTTAGGGCCCTATTGAAGTGTAAGGAGGGCTTTTTCACAGATGTGCTATCCGTTTCTTCTAACATATGATAAGAGATTTGGGTTTAGTTTATTAACACTGCTTGAACTGTATTTCAGTTATACCACAGCATGTAGGTTTTATGTGGGAGGAATGCCATAAGCAAATAAGGTCCTCAGCATTTATTGCACAAAGAACGGAGTAGCTGATCCTGACATAAGTAAGGCTCCACACCACTTGGCCCATCCAGGGAAAACAGGTGTATTTCATCCAGAGGTCAGTTTTTACTCAACTTGCTTCTTCACCTTTCCAAATCCTATTGCTTCCAGAAGGAGTTGTCACTGCCCCTTTGGACATGAGTGAGTTGGGTTTAACGCCGCTTTTAACAGTATTCCAGTTACATCGCGGCATGTCAGTTAAATGTGGGAGGAAAGCCCAAAGTGATGCAGGTCTCAGACATTTACCACTTCGGTGAAACCCACGAGCAAGGGTATGGTGCTGACAAACCTAGAAACATAATCGGGGCAAACCTGGATTCGAACCTACAATCATAGGTTTCTGGCTTTGGACATGAGAAACATTGAAAAGTACAACACAGTCAGCAATATTGCAGCCACATCATGGCAGACTGTAAATAATCAACTCTTGGCAAGGAAAACTTAATAATGATCCACAATGATCCACATCATCAGGGTACAATGACACCTTCAGCCAGGTCACAGTGTTTGTTGCTTAATGCTGCACTCAGCAATATTACACACAGCAATATCAAGATAACATCAAGACATTGTTGTCAACAGATGACAAGTCTTGCCGTGATGAGGAATACCTCTGGGCTGTCAACACAGCCTCTCACTGTGAGTATCAGAAACACCACTTCTTCTGGACCTGTCCTGGAACCTATTTACTGAGACTGCTTGTCAGTTCAAAGTGAGATCACAATATTGATTATTTAAATTCCTAAATCTTCCCTCTGCAGATAAAGTATCATCTATTTCTGAGGACTCCCACAGGGGAATATATTGGGTTAATTAATTAATCGTCTTCAGTGAAACTTCTTCAAAATCCTTTCAAGGAAAAATAGCTCTGTGCTGTTGAAAGACACATTAGAAAATATTATTCTTTTTAAGAAATCAGGAAAAGGTTCTGATTGTGCTTGATGAGAAAACAAGAACAAAACATTCCCCAGTTTTCACGTTTTTTTAGTTTTCTGTCAAGACACATAATTAAATTCAGCATGAAAATAGAAAACAAAAATTTGTTAAAATACACAGTTATTTCATTAAAGGTATCTCCACACGGAATATTTGACTTCTTGCCAATCAGTTTAACAACATATCTTACCAGCACAACCACCCTCTTTCTGAAACTTTCAAGACAAGATTAAACTTCACAAACTGAATTTAGATAATAAAAAAATAATTTTGAACACATCATAAAGAGTGAGACTTTTTTCTCCTGAATTATGCAACCAAATTATGATTATTTTAAATTCCAATACTTCAAACTTAAGCATTGTGTTAAGTGATATTTCACCCACTCCTCAAAATAGCAAAATATGAATATTTCCTTAAAGTGTGAATAATTAACTTCAGAGACCCTGAAAACGGCGTTATTGATAGGGAGAGTAAAGGTGACAGAAAAACGTGATTGTGCGGTAATAATGAGTGTGTACAGTGCGGCAACATGACCCTACGACCCACCGTTTCCCTTTCATCTTCACCAATGAAACTTCACACTGAAATGTTGACCTACAGGACATCAAACGAGTTGCTTCATAAAGAGTGTCCACATTTCCACCGCTAGCTGACACACGCTGTTAGTTAGATCTTAGAAACTGTTTCAACCCAAAAGCAAAAAAAACCCACTGGAATTGAAACATTAACTACTGGAGAGAAATCCTGAAATGACCTTTACAACAGATACATTATTTTTAACATTTCTGTTCACGTCAGATAAAATAGTCAACTTTCATCACATCCATCAAGAGTTTATTTCATGTAAAAAAAATATGAAATATTTTTAGAATAATCTGTCTCTTCTAAAAACAGACAGAATTTGCTACATAGTGACAATCTGTAAAAAAACAATGTTTCATTATAACAAGAACGTTCTGGGAATTGAGTTTTCTACAGAAGGAAGCTTACAAACAGGAAGGTATTTTATCCATGTCATTTGGGTCTGATTTTTTACAAGCTATAGAATTTTCAATGGAGACAATGCATGTGTCAAAAAGGAACTTCCAAGATTTATTCTGAAACTTCTTCATCTCAGTGTGAAGGGCTACAAACAACAATGAGGAGACAGGACACTGAGTCTGTCCTCTTTCCTTGGAGGGTCATCAAGGCTTGTGAGCAATCATGTCGACACTCAAACAAAATCATCGAGTTGGTATTGAAAATGAGAAACTGGAATGTTTGATTGGACATTTTCAGTCTTTTTTTTTTCAACTACCAAATAAGGCATTAGGCATTAATTACAAGATCTTCACTTAGGAATATATTACTGGTACATATATAAAACATTACCATATGATTTCTGGACCAGAATGGGGACGTGTGTGTGTGTGTGTGTGTGTGTGCGTGCGTGTGCGTGTGTGTGTGCGTGTGCGTGCGCGTAAGTGGAGTGTTGTGAAGGTACAAGCGAAGGGTTAGCGGTAAGGATGTGGATAGGGTTTGGGAGTTGAGGTATGGTTGAGGCTAGGAGCAAGAAAGGAGCAGTGGTAGGAATCGGGTTGAGTGTTGAGGTGTGTGACAAACAGGTCATTTGGTTTGAAATCCTAAACTGTTACATGGGCATTTTGATATTTCTGGTCACATTCAGATAACAATATCCTTCATTCACCCTAGAAATATGGAAACAATAATCTGTCCCAACGACTTCCTGCATGTTAAGTGTGTGCGTTTGATTGCTCTATCTGTGAAGGAAGTGTGACGTACCCTTTTCACCACAGGTAGCGTCAATACACTTGTGTAAATCTTTATTAAACATTTACATATTAGAATGTCATAATGGCGTGAATGAAACTGTCATCGATGTGCAACGTGAACACTTTCCTACTGAGAGGGAAATCAGAATCAAATGGGGAATTACTACAAACTTCCTGTCATGACTAATGCGTTTTAGTGGCTCACTTTATAGAAATCTTAAAGCCATGAATCTCAAAATACCTCTCATTACTGTGACTGGTTCTATTTAAGTGTCTCTTCAATGACAGGTTTGATTTTATTGATGATTTTATGAGTGCTTAAATTAACACACAAAGTTTCATATCATCCGATGCCATGAACGATCCTCCCCTTCCTGCTACCATGTGTTGAGAATGTCAAGTTCAGAAAGAAAAAAACAATCTTCCAAAGTATCGCCTTTTATTCTTCCCTCTCGTAAAGGTCAACCCAAGAAACATGTGTACATCGGGGCCTTGTAGAGGGAAAGTGTCAAAATAATAAACTCAATTTAACTTTTTCCCAATTTTCAATTTGCTCTGCTTTCAGGAAGAACGTCTTCTGTTTCTCCCACATAAAATGAAAGATGACAATGGCAGAATCCGACAAACATGAAAACTATCTCAGAAGTTTAACCAAAAAAACCACTCTACACTCATTTCGTTTTAAATCCGACCCCAGCAAATTTACAATCTGAGCTGCTAGCAAATGGCTACCAGGATTACCATGTTACCAGGTCTGCTAACAGATTGGCAAATAATGCCTGTTTTACTGGCTCCATGGGTGTAAATCCTGGAACAAAAACACCAGCTAGTTACTTCAAGGTGTAATCCCAACAAAAACACCAACCTAGACCTCAGTGAGGCTGGAATTACCATGCTTGCTGCTGGGTGCACTTTTTACCTTCTTTGAAATATGGCCTGAGTGTTCCATGGATAGGTTTTTTCGCATCTGTTTTTGAGGAAAGGTGGCGAATGTTTTACTCCTCTATCTCGCTTAACACAGGATGCATTTGATTCAACCATGTTATGAGAGATAGTCATTTGACCTACCACCACAGATGCTTCCGACCTACATGATGATAGTAAAGACCCCCACACAGCTTGGACACAATCATGGAACATATTTAAAGCAAGCTGCCAAATAGAGTTACTATCTGATTACAAAACAAGTTTAGTTGATGTTTGATCAGCCTCCTAACCCATTTACATAATTATTCTTGTCACATAGTACATCACATTACTCGTTCTGCTGGGAGCAAAGCCCAATGGTGAAACCAACAAGTAAGGGTATGACTGACAGACCCAAGGATCATAATCGGGTTGAATTTCTGATTCGAACCCACAATCAATTGATCCTGGGATCAAGGGATGCAACTCTGTACAGCGAACAGCAGAGCCAATGACCACTGGGCCACCTGTGCTCCTAGAAATTTACAGACAAAATCACATTATGGTTACAACACAGATGAAAGACAAAAAGTAATATGGCTGACATGATGATGATGGTGATGTAGACGAATATGAAGAATATGATGATGATGGTGGTGGTGGTGGTGGTGGTGGTGGTGGTGGTGGTGGTGGTGGTGATGATGATGACAGAGCAGTATTTGGTATGTAAGTACAGGTTATCTCATAGACATACATGAACACTATCTGCACATGCAGGCTATCTTCTTCATGATTAACATAAATACAAATAAGGTAACAATCATGATAGATATACTGTATTTAAACTGCATCATTATCATCTAACAATGTTACTGGGAAGCTAATTGCAACATCTAAATAATATCTAGATCTTGTTAATGGCAGCTGTGATAATTTCAAGTATCATATATATTAATATTTATTACATAGTTAACAGATTCAATATGAACAAGTTTGGAATACAATCAAAATATAAGAACAAACATTTTCCTTTTTCAGAAATAAATATGACGATTGAAGAAACTTTTCAAGTAACAAACCTTCAAGGCAGCATATTTCTTACATTACATTCTTCTAATTCACCCAACACAAAGTACTTTTGCGGAATAATTTTTATTTACAACTAAGCATATGATTTTGAAAACTATATCTTTAATCCATGAAATAAACAGATGCCTAAAATAGTTAAAAAGAAAGACATTTTCTGCACAAGATTGTACTGGTATGCTGCACCAGCATAACATCCTGATAACGCTGAATTGGTAAACAGCAACTGAATTCAATGTGGAACAATTTTTTCACTTATTACTGAATATTCAAAATTTGGATAATTGTTTTCCTATGAATATTAAATATTCATTTACTAAACCAAGTTGAGTCCGCATGAAATATCGAAATAGCCCACTATTAACTTTTGTTCCAAATTGACATTTCGATTTACAGAATACCAAAAACTTTTCCTTCATGAAACCAGGCCATACAAATCATATCCACCATTAGGGCAATATTCCTTACATAATACCACACACACACTAATACATGTGTTAGCAGTTTTCTAGCACTGAAGTTCTGTCAATATGCTAATGTTCATAGCAAACATGTGCATGAGATTCTGACAATATCAACTCAATAACACACAGCTGCTGACCAATCTCTCAAATGTGTACGAGCTGGAGTCCATTTTCGATTTGAAATTCAACATCATGCTCATAATTTGAGAGAAAACACATTTGTTGAAAGATGAAAAGAAAAAACACAAGTCAATGTGCATTGGAAGTGGTTTTCAGAAACAACTGGTACTGTTACCCAATTTCCTGAAAATGTTACTGTGTACAGATTTTATGATCAACAGACATCATCTGATTAATGATTATCACATTTTAAGTTTTCATATTCTTTTAAGAAAAAAATAGATTAGCTCTGGAAAACATAGAAATACTTCTTAATGTACTTTCAGTTTTTGGCTGGTGATCTTTATGATTTCATTGCAGTCACTGAACTATTTCTTTAACAAACAGATTTCATGCATTTTCTGAACACACATTAAACACTGAAACAAGATATCATGGGTAAAATGTTCACACATGTTGAACTGCAAGCTGTACTCAAATATACAATCATCTAACGAGAATATAGCATGGTTGGTGAAAGGCAATAATGCGCAAGCAGGATAACCAACATGCAACAATACTTACTTTTTCCTTCCCAATCTCGGTATCGATGTCTATTAAGTTCCCTGGTGGCTGAAATGAAGAAAACGAAAGTGCATTTAAAAAGGTTAGTTTCATGCACGTGAGGTTAGTAAAAAGTCACTGTTCATAATGATTGTATTGGTGGGTTTTTTTCCAAATATTTTGACCATAAATTCCACCAGTCAGTAAATGTCCAAAGAATGTCAAATTGTTTAAAATACCAGCTTATATAATTTACAAGTCTGTGAATAACACTGTGCCTTTAACATGTATCAGTGATGTGGTTCAAGTGCATCTGTCTGATACACAACTATCTGTATCAGTAAGAGGCTGATAACAGTTACACAACCCAGTACAAGATTGTAACTGAAATTCATTTAACATATGATGCATTGAAAAGCCAGTCTACCAGTGCATTCCTATTTTACCATCCTTCCAGTTCAGACCTATCATGTTACCAGTAAATCAAAAATGATATTTTTCATCTGTTTAATCATTTTTAGTATTTCATGCTCTAAAGCTTGAAGCAAGTTTATAAAAGATTTCAAAGTATTAGGGAGGAAATTGTAGAGAATGAATGAAGAGTCGACAGTATTTACCATGGTAAGGCATAGTGATAGTCATAACATGCGCACCTATTTATAGTTTCCACTGCATGAAAACATATCATGAATATTTATACATTTGTCAATACTAAATAACAATAAATATGAACAATGTGTTTCACAATGACGCACCACTGATTGTGAATACTGTACATGATGTACTTTTTGTACTGTGTTGCAACAGATGGTAAGGATGTAGCAAAAAACATAAAATTATTGTAAACACAGCTTATGTTGGGTGCAATTACAGAACAGCTAAGCACCGTATTTGTGGCATTAGGAAGTTTCTTGAAAGGGGAAAAGAAAATAATGACAGCATCTACATCTGGGAGAGGATCTATTCTACAGTTCCTGATGGCATTCCTATAGTATAAGTGTTGCTCTTTATCCATTTCTTCATATGACTGAATGAGTGAGTCGGGTTTGATGCCACTCTTAGCAATATTGCAACAATCCTGTAGTTATGTGTGACGAGTGAATGCTTTAAACACTTGGCTACTTCCCTTGGCACCGAGGGAACAAGGTTTTTATCAACAGGATGACATATTTAAGAAACATGACAAGACCACTTCAAATAAATTATTGATCAGGGTTAGTTTTGTCAATGTTTTAATTTTTTGACATAGCTGTTATAAAAATATCATCTCTTTTGCTAGATGTATACATCTGATACAACCAAAGGATTGTCCATGTATTCCTTGTAGGTCAGGAAAGTATTTTTGTACTTAAAATAGAAATTGGTCCTATTTGGAATAGCTGAGCTTTTCCATTATAAAGTCAACTTGCTGTGTCATTCTAACATAAGATATGAAACAAAATCAGCTATTCTGCTATCTTGTTACCATCATGAGGAATTGACAGTGTTTTCAGGCAGGTGGGTATACAAGTTCAAATACCATCAACAAATTGAAACTGTATGACCCTCAGCCATCGACCAAGTGAGTGAGTTAGGGTTAACACCGCTTCTAACAGTATTCCAGTTATTTCACAGCGTGTCAACTTGATTTTGGGGTGAAAAACACCAAGTCATGCAAATCTCATTTTTGTGAACCTACAAGCACAGACAGAGTGCTGACAAACATAGAAACATAAGCAGGGTAAACAGGGTTCGAACCCATGATCACAGTTTCTGGCACAATTATCTGGACTCAAATCTGAACAATGAATTGTGCCGCCTTAGATGACTGGGCCACCAGTGCCCCATTAACCAGGGAAATATGACCCCAATGACTATTCCGGATACTTGAAAATCATATCACTACTTGACTTTCATCAGACTGCAAAGTAATTGAATACCACATCACTAGAATGGGAACACTGACGGAAGGATCATCAAAGTAAAAACAACAAGGATTGAAAAGAGACTAAAAAAGTCAACTCCAATTGCAACGTTCCACATCACTTCAACTGCATTATGTATCAACTCTGTAACAATATCACAAATACAACGCAACTTATGGAGGCTGACAAGTCTTTCATCCCATTATTCTGACCTATTTCACTTGCTGCTTTTACAGTGCTGCTAGATGCACCGTATGGCATTAGCTAATAGATGTGGATCTGTCCTGGATACAAACACAACTTCCTATCTCACAAAACTCGTTCAGAGATCAATTATTAAGGTTATTGCCTCACCAGGAAACCATCATCAGCAAAAAGCAGTGCTTTTTCAAGATTAAAAATATGTGATGCAGAATGTATGCTGAAATACATATTGATTTCGTTGGTCCTATTTCTGAAAGAGCAGACCCATACTGAGATGACAAGCATCGCGTACAAGATTTAGACACGAGCCTACGGCTCGAACTATCATGAATTGCCCACACCCGATGAGCACACACATATTTCACATACATAAATCATCATCACCATTCGCTGCTGAATCACACGGGAACAGTTGGCTTTAATAATTTCAACTGAAAGGTTGAGTAATCATACCATTAATGCTTAGGTAGCAAACAAAGCAATGTCTACTTTTTAATCTAACTAACGAGTCCAATATCAATTGTGGTGCTCTTATCTAAATGAAAATCAGCTTTGTAATGACAAAATGTTGCTATAAACAAAGTGATTCAGAAATAATTTGCTCTGAAACATGTCAAGCAGTATTTTATAATGTTGCAAGTTATGGTGTTGTATTTACTTCTACTCAGAAATCTTCTGGTACTTATTTTCTTATGTTATCTTGATATGAAATCAAAAAGGTATTTACTATTGTTTAGAACTTCATACTACAACTGAAACAAAATATGATTTCAACTTGAAGTATCCTTGAAAACCTGGCATAAAATGTCAGTGTGACTCAATGTCGATGTTTCGCAGTCAACAAAATTAAGGCTGTATAAACAATATGATATTTGGATCCTGCAGACCAGTGGCTGATGAGCAGCGATCTATGCAACATTATCCACCAGGTCACACATGGTCAGCTCTCACAACATACAAGGGGTACTGGGTACAACTTCTGCTATGGAATTCCCACACCTTGTGACTATGTTTTCATGGTAGAGCTAAGATACCTGTAGATTTACAGCACTAACTTGAATTTGAAACCAAACGTGCAGAATTAGGTTTCGAATGTTAAATTTAGCAAGGTTAAATCTACAGGTAACCTATCTCTACAATGAAAACACAGTATGTTTATCTCCATTCTACCATGGCTAAGTAAAATGCGAACTCTTTGGTGTTTGCAAATATATTGAGTGAAGCGGCATGGAATGAGTTCAGTGTTTTGAGTGAGTTGTCATTCTGAATTACGAAATCACAGACAACAGCCATTAAACAAAATATGGCACTGTATATGCTCAAGTAGTAGGTTTACATCGTAATACTACACTCGAACATATGACAGGCATTGAAAGCATATAAGCACGGTAACAAGCTAAACTTACTTGAGGTGGGCACCCTTAAAGAAAACTAGGCAAGCTTTGCAAAGCTTTCGTTCTACAGTGCACGTCTCCATTATGAAGTCATATTTCTCATTGTGACACAAAATATATAACATCATAGCCGTATGTAGAAAAGCGACAAATTCCCAGCTTTCAATTGTCCCCTAAACTTAAAATGCATTCTCTTTGTAGATTTCTATGTTTTCTACATGAAATGTATTGCCACACATCTTTTGAATATTGTAATAACCATAACTTTGCATTTTGTAACCTATAATTGTAGACATAATTATTTAAATATGCCTACCGACAATGACTGAAAAAAGTACTATTCTATGAATTTTAGCTTCTGTTGTGATGCGGCTGTCAAATCGGCTGTTTCAATCAGAGGGAGTTTATTGTGATTTGACAACCTCTGATTGACCAATCAGAATCAAGTAATTTCCAAATTCATGGTAGAATATATTCAAAGCCCCTCCTATGCTCCGTTTTAGCTAATGCTAAAAACTCAGGATGCTCTTTTACTGAGCCCATAGGTTTAACTTAAGAAATCAATTTTGACAGAGTGGCAGTATTACACAGATAATCTAGACTGTGAGAGGCTTCAATATCTATATGACACACTGGTCTCCTCATTCAAATGTGTATTTATCATAATAGTTTGGTGTTTAAGAAGAGTTGACTCATTATTGTTGACATTAAACTTAAATCAAAGAGTCTTTAGTCATGTTTGCACATTTTCTGTACTTAATTACACAGGTCTTAATTTTGGATGAAACATTCAGTACTAAACATGCTAAAAGGTGATATAACCCATTATTAGGCTGTGTGCTTAAATATGTGCATTCAAAGTACCCACCTGTCTTACACTGTTTAAGGGGGATATGAAACACTCATTTCTGACAGTAAGTCAAGGGAGTTAACTGACCAGAAAAGTCTAGTTTCAACCCTTGTAGAACTAGGCTGGAATTCGAGTTAAATTTTGGCTGGACTAAAGAGTCTATGCACAGTCCAATCAAAGTCGCGTAATGAAATCAACATCCGGTTTGCAAACTGCAGTACAGATTTCGCCGATTGCAGGATTTGCAAAACATTTGTACCGCCAACTCGCTATCAACAGATATTTTCCAAATCTTTTCATGTTTTTAATCAAGGTGTTCATGTGATTGGATGCACTTCGCGAAGTAAGACCCTTTATATTACAAAATAGATTTTCATTATCGGTGAAATCGTCTTGACTGGGGGCTGCCATTTTGTTTCTAGCAAATGCAAAAGATGTGAGAGGTGGAATCAATTGGGAGGTTACAGAAGGGACATAACTCATTACAGCCACAGGTGATGCTTCGATCAAGCCCAGAAAGCCAGCCAGTTCAGTAAGGGTCAAAACTGGACTTATATGGTCAGTTATCTGCCTTGCCTCAGGAACATGGACAGTATATGAAAACAATCTCAGTCCATCATAGTTCTGCTGACTCAAGTTTGCTAATGCTGGGCCCTCAGTCACTCCCTGAATGGTAAATACAACTCTTGTTAACTTAACAAGCATCAAGTGACTGTC